AAAGACTGGCTTGTGAAATGGGCTTCCCTGTACTGCTTTGTGGCAGCAGTTTAGCTAGAGTTTGTCTAGTAGTCAGTAATAGCCTCTGAGAAAGGCCATTCTCTTGGCTGGGTGGCTAAATAAGAGTTAGAGTCCATTAGATGCTTTGAAGCTACAGAGTATCCTGACAAATCTAGAGTCATTGAAGTTGTTAATGCAACCATTGCTTCGCTTTCCCATAATCTTGCTCTGTAGTAGCCCAAGCAACTTTATGTAGTATGACAATGACTGCTTTTTTTTTTTTTAGGAGCAAATTCTTGGTTGTATGTAAAGGCATGCCTTCTATTGGAATTTTCTAAATTTCTATTGGCTTTGTGTGTGTCGGGCATTTCTTTCTTTGCCATCAGTGTGGTCAGGATGTTGTAGATGTAGAACCCAGAGCTGCCCTTGTCTCACCAAGGATGATGCCTAAATGTGCCAGACCACAAGGGCATCTCCTAATTTAGACACCCTGGAATGAGAGTTTGAGCACACTGTGGAAGTTAATTCCTGTAGTTAAAGTTGGGGTAGTGCAACATTCAGTTCCAGAGGAAACAGACTAGTGAAAGGATACTACCAAAAACAGTTAAAAAAGCAATGTGCAAGCATTCCCTAATATAGTCTACACTGCAGCTGCCAGCCAAAAGCCTGCACCAGTCTGCAGGACCTAGGATTGGCTAGACACCAAGCAGTTGAGTAATATAAAGCAGTTTCATAGTAATGAAGTAAAAGGCATGAGGTTGTATACAGTGCGCACTAATAATACTTCAAGCAAAGAACATTGTTTAAATATAATTGTAGCTTTTTAATAATATACTATGGAAAGCTACTGAACATAATGTGCACATGTACACTAATGGGCTCATAGTGTTTCTGTGCCCTGCTGTCTTGTATAGCAGGCTAAACCGGTCACTGTCTTTATATCTGTCTTACCATGTCTGACATTCTGCATATTTATGTGTGTCCTTTCCACGCTATAGGGTCTATAAGAGACAGAACAGGCCAGAGGAGGCCTTAAGCCAGTGTGAGAATTGTCTTCAACTGCTGAAGGACTGTGATAAGCCAGAGAAGACCTGCTCTGTCTATAGAGACATGTCCACCATTGAACAGGAAAAAGGCAATTTGGACAAAGCCATAGAACATCTCTCCAAGGCAGGTGGCATATCAGTTGCACAACTCCTTAGCACAACATATACAAATGTGTAAAGGCTTTTTGAAATGGTGCCAGGCTGTGTTGTTGTTGTGTAGCAATGTTCTCACACCTCTTAGCTGATGATAAGTGGATCTGTCTTATTTTGGGGTTTCTGCTAGGCTCATGCCATTGCTATGAGTCACAACCCAGAGGAGCTGGAGGGGGCTCAGATCTCCCACAGCCTAGCCCTCATCCTTTCTGCTGCACCACAGCCTCATCACAGTGGTGAGTCTATTCACAGACACAGACCTGGGTAATGGGCACAAGGGGTTAATTAGGATTTGAATCTTCCACTGTCTTTTTGTATGACAAATTCTTTAAGAAGGTGTAATGGAAACCAGTCATAATAGCCTTATTGAAAACATAAGTTCAGCCATGCCAGGATGATTCATCCATGTCAACATAAGTGCTAAGGCTAAGTATGTTCTATGGTAACTATTGTGTATAGAAGCACAACATGAAAAATTAGGATTAATGCAGATAATCTTATATGGTGATCCTGTAGCAGTTTGTTTTCAGAATATTATTCTGTCAATTAATGCCTTAACTGAAGGAGTAAACGTGCATCATGTCTTTTTGCTGCTGTTTGTAGACTCTGCAGGTCCCTACTTTGAGCAGAGTCTAAGTGCATACAAGAAGTGTGTAGGTCCACAGGATCCAGCCTTTCTCACTGCCCAGGATGATTTCTGTAGTTTTCTCCTCCTCAGTGACCAGCAAGAGGTTACACAAACATACAGTGCACACACTCGCATCTGTAAGACAATGACACTACTAAGATTTCCTTCAGGCACAGAATATCATAGAGTTCTGATTTTTCCTCATGCAGTTTTGGGATTCATGGCAGACTTTCATTTTCCATTTTTTTTTTTTTTTTTTTGTTGTTGTTCAGAGAGCAGCACCATGGAAACACGCCCTCAGAATCCATAATTGTCAAAAGATTGATTCCAGCTGCTAAACAAGGTGTGGGTCTTTCCACTTGTAAGTTATGATTTACCTATTACCATTGCAGAGATGTGTAGAGATCCAGGCAGCCTCTCTTTCTTCAAAGAGGTCTACATTTGGCGACCTGAGTGCTGAGGTAGCAGACACCCTTCAGCTGATAGGAAGTGTGGAGATGACTCAGGGCAAGGTGAAGCAGGCCCACAGGACTATGACAAAGGTAATCACAAGTTACAGAACACGTACAGGACGTGTAATGGTTGTCTTGGTTACCAGCTGTAAATCTACATTAGAAATGCTGGGCCTAGTAGTAGACACAGTCATCAAACTTCGTCCCTGCCAAACTATTTGGGAGGGTTTAGTTAAAGGCTAGGAGTCAGTAGGTGTGGCCACCTACACCAGTGAGAGGGTGACAGGCCTGTTCAAAATACACACAGACTGTATGTCACATTGAGATTAGCTATTTCCACCATCTCTCTAAAGCTCAGTGCTATCAGAGTCGTATGCTAATCTTGGACGGGTGCATTGTGCAAAGTCACACTCCCTGGTGTAAAATATCACAAAGACTGACTTTGTGTTTCCTCAGTCTGGATGGAGCCTGACACACGGGCAACACAACTTTGGAAAGAGAATGTTAGTTTGCTAATTGCCATCTATTAATGAGACACTGACCCCAGTTAGTTTGGCATGCCATTTTGTCCGTTGAAACAAAAGTGACATTCATATGTCTTACAGCACACATATAAACAGCAGCCTTTTAGCTGATTTAATCTTGCTCTTCCTCTTGAGGGGGATTTCTTCATACTAGTAATGACATGCCTGTAAGTAAAGAAACTTGGTTGCTATGTTGCTTTGTTTTGGCATCCAAGTGCACAGGGGTCCAAGTATGACAGGGTACACCACGTCCGACTTGTAACCTTTCTGAAGTACCCTGACACAGAGCAGATATGTCCGGACTGCTTTTTTTATTTTGTACCACTGTCATCATCTCCCTATCTGCACTTTGTTTTTCCAAAGGAAAGCTGGCCATACAGTAGAAAAAGTACAAAAGGTCTACTTAAAAAAAAACAACACAGAACAATGCTGCACACACTTTATTTTCCCCCCTTCTGCTGTAGTACTACTTGGAAAAAAGGCCCTCCTATGACATCAACCTTAGCAACAGTGAAAACATCCAGGAGGCCAGATGGATTATTTCCAGATTACCAAGTGGTTCCCTTTCC